CTGTCGTCGTCGCTGTCATGCTTTGAATGAGGCATACTTTTCGGGATCTTCTGTTTTTGATCAAAGAGGCGGAGCTCAAAAGTCAATCAGCGTGACGTAGGCCGAGGTGGAGGTGTGGCGCCAACAGAACTCAGAGTCGTAGCCCTCCCACACGGTGGCTGAACACGTCCGCGTCTTGTCGCCGTCAGGGATCCTGCTGAAGCGTCCTACTTTAATGCTAGAGATTTTCGGGTTAACTTTTCGGTTCGTACGCCGAAATTGTAGGATCCTTCGGCGGTAAGCGTCTGTCAGACAGCGGATCAAGCGCGGCTCGTCTGTCGTGGGCATGGTGATGGAAGTGCTGGAAGACATTTAACATTTAGAAAGGTGCAAATTCTGAATTTGCTCTCTTCCGCGAGGACTAAGTGAAGCGACAGCGTTTGGGACTTTTCTCGGGCATGTGGATGTGCGGCATTGCATTTCTTCATTCAGCAGACTTATGTACGTTACAGTACAGCAGCAGTGTCCCAGCGGGGGATCGAACCGGCAATCTTTCAATTACGAGTCCCGCTCCTTAACCACTATGCTACACTGCCGCAGCATTGTGAGTGGAAGATTTTGTGGCTATATGGCTCAAGCAAGAAGAAAGTGTCTGAAAGGGCACAAAAGACACTACCAGCGAAGCGACTCATGGAGTGGAGCGCAACAGACACCTGCGACCGTTTAGAATGGTTTAAAGTCTAGTAATCCGCAAACGGCCACATACACGGGTACCAGGAGCTGCGTACGGCAGCACTAACGCAGTCGAGCCCATCCGCCAGCAGTTACAGTTTCGCGTTTCGATTTGGAGAAAAAGTGACCGAGGAGCACAACGCAGGAGAGCTCGCCAGTTTCACAACGTTTGATTTATAATTGCAACCATTTCATCTATAATGCCTTTGAAATTCTTCCTGGACTGTTCGCTTTTCGATTGTAAACAGTTTTAATTAATTTGCTGTAACTTGTTTGTTCGCTTTGCACTTGGGAATCTAACAGGACGCCTCCAAAGCGCTTCCGCGTTTAGTCGTTTATGCTCGTCTCATCGGAAGCTTCGTCTGCTGTAAATAGTAGGCCTACCTGTCTTATTATTGTTTGTTTTACCGTTTGTTACTTTTGCAACCTCGACATGACATCCTTGTATGTGAGCACAACGTTAGCTCATTATCTAAGATGGTGAAACAAAGAGATGTTAATGCCCTTGTTTTAATTGCCATTCTTGTGTGTGGCTACATTTGTATGCTTTCCATAATAGACATTCTACTGAGAACTGAAGCGGTTACTTATTTGTAGGAATGATTGCGACCGCGTACATTTATTTGTTCTGACAAATGGTAAGAACTGAGCACCTTGTTAATTAAGACGCTTTGCTGTTTACAGACGATGCCGACATGTTCTCACTTTGCCCACCGTTTCCCTGCTCGACATCGTTTGCCATTTTCGCCTCGACCGCAAAACGTTTAGCTGCTGACACTCCTATGCCTACGTTGCTACGTGTTGTTTTTAAAGCAATGGCGAATGTAAGCACTGTTCTTTGTGCGAAAGCACACTTTCATGTTTTTGACAGACTAGTTAAAGCGTAGTCGCCTGGCTGACTGAAGCTTTCATGCGCCGGCCAGTGAATTTCTGGCGTGATTGCCCTCAAAGGCGCTGCGCCTTCCTCCGGCTCCGCTCTAGCCTACCAGCGGTAAACTTTCCCTGCCGAGGTTCGGGTTGAAGTCAGCTATGGTTTGTTCGAGCGGCTCTGAAATTGCTGTGGGCTTCTTTGGTCATTATCATCAGCATCCAGCAGTTCTCAGGTGTAGGCTAAATAAAGACACGTACACAAAGAATCAGTGGCAAAGGTGACAAATTCATTTTTATTAACCTGAAATGTTGAAAACAAAATTCAAGTTCTGAATAATCATGCAAATTCTGTCTGAAAAATGAATGGCCAACAACCAGTATGTTTACTGGTGGAAGCCCTCGCGGGGCGTTGTATACCTCTGTCTAAGGTAGGCCCATTTAATCTGTGATCCGTGTTTCGCTTTTGTTCATGGTGGGATTATTTGACGAACAGACTTCCATATAGACAGCTCCATTGTGCGCACATCACAGTGGGTATAGAAACAGAGCATTTCAATCAGTAGTAAAAAGGTGGTCAATTATTAGTGTGTACTGTATTCTGTGTATATAACCTATACTGTATTCTGTGTATATAATGTAATGTTATTCTGTTTTGTATTCTGTGTATATAATATATACTGTATTCAGCACCCCTAAATTTTTTGGTGTAAAACTCATGTCACTTACTAGTAATTCATTAAAAGTATTACTTTTGGAAATTAAAATATCATATATAGAAAAATATTAATGTGTTAATTGTTATCCAGTGAAATGAGTGATTTAGCAGGGGGGTTGAACACCTTTGCAAGGCACTGTATGCATGTCACATTCTCATTAGGGGCTGAGCGCCCCTAAAGGTCTGATCCTAGAATCACCCCTGTTGTGTATTATATTCTGTGTATATAATATATACTGTATTCTGTGTACATGTGTAATGTTATTGTGTACTGTATTCTGTGTATATAATGTATATCTATGCCTGCAAGGTGGTGTACAAATATTTCATTGTATTTTAATACACATGACAATAAAGGTGAACTTGAACTTGAACTTCAATTTCTCCCTGGCCCTGGGTTTAAAATGAGATGGTGTTCATTGTTATTATTATTATTATTTTTTTTTGCTAACACAGATGACATTGATCGGACGACCATTTCTCCACGACGGCTCACAATAACAAAAGTTGCTTTCCTGAATATTTTGCTTCATAAATGGATAGTTGTTTTGCCCAAAACCATCTGCCGTCACAAAAACAGAAGAATTAACTCGTAGCTGCAACATGGTGTGTAATCAGAACTGGGCAGATTGAAAAACCTGACATGAAGCAGACAATCGCACAGGTCAGTTCCCGCCAGTGATGTTGTTATGGGGAAAAAAATCCGTCCGTTGCTGGTGGTTACGCCCGGGAACAGCCGGGATCATTTCGATGGACGGACGAAAGCACTGCTCTTGTGTTGATCCAAAACAGACCCCAAATTGAGGTCTCCTCCTTATTACTGAGAGGCATTTTTTTGTGGTTTATGACACACAAACACAATTGTTTTCAATAAATCAAAGTCATTTTATTTATTATAATCAAGTTTGTCTCAACATTTGTTATAATCAAGTTTGTCTCAAGAGGATTCCCTGAGCCCGGGAAAATGCGATGGAGAGACTCCCGGCAAACAATCAATAGAAAAGATAACATTGCTGCATCACATAAGGCATCTGTTCCTCGGAGCGGGTCTGTTGCGCAGACAGTGACTCGGGCAGGCCAAGGAAATATTGTCCTCTGGCAGGTTATGGGTGCGGACCACCCTTCTGAGAGTGGAAGGTGCAGCAGTGGTCCGCGCATCGCAGTCACTGTGGCCGGTGAGCACAGCTGCTGGCGACGCTGAAAGCACCTGTTGCTCTTAAACCTGCGGGGCCGGTAGACGATGGAGAAAAGAATGATAGAACTTTTCCGTTCTTTCCTGCACACGCACTGGAGGTTCAGCGCATCGATGTTTCCAGGAGCCCCCCTTTAACATCGGGTGATGGTCCCGAAACTCGTCCCAGGTGTGTAAGCAAGAAGTCATGAGGGAATTGAGGAAAAACATTTCTTCATTTCTGATGACTTCGGAGTACACAAGCGCAGCTACAGCGACGGCGTCTTCGGGACGTTCCACACGTCGTGCACATTTTGAATTGTTTCCATTCAAGTAGTTCTGGACAATCTTGCTAAAATGTTTGTTACAGCTGTCAGATACTTTTAGTTTTACGTAGGAAAGGTTTTTCTCGGGGAGACGAAATTCTTCCGCGACAGAGTTCTCCTGGTCGATTATCCTAAAAGCGTGTTTCATGTAAAGGTCGCGGGGATCACATTCTAGAATATAATCTTGGACAACGAAGTAAATCGGCCTGTCCCCTAAGCTTGTGCTTTCACGCCAGGTTTGGAGGCAGCGTTGAACAATTAGTACATATTGTCTGAAATTCCTCGGCTCCACAGCTGCAATCCGCTTGTCTTTTGAACTTGTGATTTTAAACTCTCGCGTCGGCATAGCATCACCTTGACTTCTACCAATACTTTTCATTGCCTCTGAATTCCTTCTGTTGGCACTGTGTAGTTTCAGCGTTTTGGCAGTAATACGGCTGATGTCGTCTTGTGCACATGATTTCAGCGGGTACATGTCGTTGCTTCTTCCTTATACTCGCGTGATTTTCTGATGAAGACACCACCCTGGAAGCGAACATAGATTGTATCTCTTATTCCTTGCGGTATATGCACGAAGGGCTCCCGCCAAATGTCTTCCACCTCGCCAAGGAAGGCACCAGAACGACCTAAACTGAAGTGTATAGTCGTCGGTGTCCTGTCGTCGTCGCTGTCATGCTTTTGAATGAGGCATACTTTTCGGGATCTTCTGTTTTTGATCAAAGAGGCGGAGCTCAGAAGTCAATCAGCGTGACGTAGGCCGACGTGAAGGTGTGGCGCCAACAGAACGTAGAGTCGTAGCCCTTCCACACGGTGGCTGAACACGTCCGCGTCTTGTCCCCGTCAGGGATCCTGCTGAAAGTGCTCAAGCGTCCTGCGTTAATACTAGAGATTTTCGGGTTAACTTTCGCGCCGAAATTTCGGCCGCCGAAATTGTACGATCCTTCGGCGGTAAGCGTCTGTCAGACAGCGGATCAAGCGCGGCTCGTCTGTCGTGGGCATGGTGATGGAAGTGCGCTGGCGACATTTAACATTTAGAAAGGGGCAAATTCTGAATTTGCTCTCTTCCGCGAGGACTAAGTGAAGATCAGCGCGACAGCGCGTTTGGGACTTTTCTCGGGCATGTGGATGTGCGGCATTGCATTTCTTCATTCAGCAGACTTATGTATGTTACAGTTACATTTATGCAGCTGGATATTTACGTTTCCAGTGTCCAGCGGGGGATCGAACCGGCAATCTTTCGATTACGAGTCCTGCGCCTTAACCACTATGCTACACTGGCGCAGCATTGTGAGTGGAAGACTTTGTGGCTATGGCTCAAGCAAGACGAAAGTGTCTGAAAGGGCACAAAAGACACTACCAGCGAAGCGACACATGGAGTGGAGCGCAACAGACACCTGCGACCGTTTAGAATGGTTTAAAGTCTAGTAATCGGCGAACGGCCACATACACGGATACCGGGAGCTGTGTACGGCAGCACTAACGCAGGCGAGCCCATCCGCCAGCAGTTACAGTTTCGCGTTTCGATTTGGAGAAAACGTGACCGAGGAGCACAACGCAGGAGAGCTCGCCAGTTTCACAACGTGTGATTTATATTTGCAACCATTTCATCTATAATGCCTTTGAAATTCTTCCTGGACTGTTCGCTTTTCGATTGTAAACAGTTTTAATTAATTTGCTGTAACTTGTTTGTTCGCTTTGCACTTGAGAATCTAACAGGACGCCTCCAAAGCGCTTCCGCGTTTAGTCGTTTATGCTCGTCTCATCGGAAGCTTCGTCTGCTGTAAATAGTAGGCCTACCTGTCTTATTATTGTTTGTTTTACCGTTTGTTACTTTTGCAACCTCGACATGACATCCTTGTATGTGAGCACAACCTTAGCTCGTTATCTAAGCTGGTGAAACAAAGAGATGTTAATGCCCTTGTTTTAATTGCCATTCTTGTGTGTGGCTACATTTGTATGCTTTCCTTAACAAACATTCTACTGAGAACTGAAGCGGTTACTTATTTGTAGGCACGATTGCGACCGCGTACATGTATTTGTTCTGACAAATGGTAAGAACTGAGCACCTTGTTAAAGAAGCTTTGCTGTTTACAGACGATGCCGACATGTTCTCACTTTGCCCACCGTTTCCTTTCCTCGACATCGTTTGCCATTTTCGCCTCGACCTGCAAAACGTTTAGCTGCTGACACTCCTATGCCTACGTTGCTACGTGTTGTTTTTAAAGCAATGGCGAATGTAAGCACTGTTCTTTGTGCGAAAGCACACTTTCATGTTTTTGACAGACTAGTTAAAGCGTAGTCGCCTGGCTGACTGAAGCTTTCATGCGCCGGCCAGTGAATTTCTGGCGTGATTGCCCTCAAAGGCGCTGCGCCTTCCTCCGGCTCCGCTCTAGCCTACCAGCGGTAAACTTTCCCTACCCAAGTTCGGGTTGAAGTCAGCTATGGTGTGTTCGAGCGGCTCTGAAATTGCTGTGGGCTTCTTTGGTCATTATCATCAGCATCCAGAAGTACTCAGGTGTAGGCTAAATAAAGACACGTACACAAAGAATCAGTGGCAAAGGTGACGAATTCATTTTTATTAACCTGAAATGTTGAAAACAAAATTCAACTTCTGAATAATCATGCAAATTCTGTCTGAAAAATGAATGACCAACAACCAGTATGTTTACTGGTGGAAGCCCTCATGGGGCGTTGTATACCTCTGTCTAAGGTAGGCCCATTTAATCTGTGATCCGTGTTTCGCATTTTGTTCATGGTGGGATTATTTGACGAACAGACTTCCATATAGACAGCTCCATTGTGCGCACATCACAGTGGGTATAGAAACAGAGCATTTCAGTCAGTAGTAAAAAGGTGGTCAATTATTAGTGTGTACTGTATTCTGTGTATATAACCTATACTGTATTCTGTGTATATAATGTAATGTTATTCTGTATTGTATTCTGTGTATATAATATATACTGTATTCAGCACCCCTAAATTTTTTGTGTAAAACTCATGTTACTTACTAGTAATTCATTAAAAGTATTACTTTTGGAAATTAAAATATCATATATAGAAAAATATTAATGTGTTAATTGTTATCCAGTGAAATGAGTGATTTAGCAGGGGGGTTGAACACCTTTGCAAGGCACTGTATGCATGTCACATTCTCATTAGGGGCTGAGCGCCCCTAAAGGTCTGATCCTAGAATCACCCCTGTTGTGTATTATATTCTGTGTATATAATATATACTGTATTCTGTGTACATGTGTAATGTTATTGTGTACTGTATTCCGTGTATATAATGTATATCTATGCGTGCAAGGTGGTGTACAAATATTTCATTGTATTTTAATACACATGACAATAAAGGTGAACTTGAACTTGAACTTCAATTTCTCCCTGGCCCTGTGTTTAAAATGAGATGGTGTTCATTGTTATTATTATAATTATTTTTTTGCTAACACAGATGACATTGATCGGACGACCATTTCTCCACGACGGCTCACAATAACAAAAGTTGCTTTCCTGAATATTTTGCTTCATAAATGGATAGTTGTTGCGCCCAAAACCATCTGCCGTCACAATAACAGAAGAATTAACTCGTAGCCGCAACATGGTGTGTAATCAGAACCGGGCAGATTGAAAAACCTTACATGAAACAGACAATCGCACAGGTCAGTTCCCGCCACTGATGTTGTTATCGAAAAAAATTCCATCCGTTGCTGATGGTCAGACCCGGGAACAGCCGGGATTATTTCGAAGGATGGACGAAAGCACTGCTCTAGTGTTGATCCAAAAACAGACCCCAAATTGGGGTCTCCCTCTTTTTTACTGAGAGGCATTTTTTCTGTGGTTTATGACACACAAACACAATTGTTTTCAATAAATCAAAGTCATTTTATTTATTATAATCAAGTTTGTCTCAACATTTGTTATAATCAAGTTTGTCTCAAGAGGATTCCCTGAGCCCGGGAAAATGCGATGGAGACACTCCCGGCAAATAATCATAGAAAAGATAACATTGCTGCATCACATAAGGCATCTGTTCCTCGGAGCGGGTCTGTTCTGCAGACAGTGGCCCGGGCAGGCCAAGGAAATATTGTCCTCTGGCAGGTTATGGGTGCGGACCACCCTTCTGAGAGTGGAAGGTGCAGCAGTGGTCCGCGCATCGCAGCCACTGTGGCCGGTGAGCACAGCTGGTGGCGACGCTGTAGAAGCACCTGTTGCTCTTAAACCTGCGGGGCCGGTAGACGATGGAGAAAAGAATGATAGAACTTTTCCGTTCTTTCCTGCACACGCACTGGAGGTTCAGCGCATCGATGTTTCCAGGAGCCCCCCTTTAACATCGGGTGATGGTCCCGAAACTCGTCCCAGGTGTGTAAGCAAGAAGTCATGAGGGAATTGAGGAAAAACATTTCTTCATTTCTGATGACTTCGGAGTACACAAGCGCAGCTACAGCGACGGCGTCTTCGGGACGTTCCACACGTCGTGCACATTTTGAATTGTTTCCATTCAAGTAGTTCTGGACAATCTTGCTAAAATGTTTGTTACAGCTGTCAGATACTTTTAGTTTTACGTAGGAAAGGTTTTTCTCGGGGAGACGAAATTCTTCCGCGACAGAGTTCTCCTGGTCGATTATCCTAAAAACGTGTTTCATGTAAAGGTCGCGGGGATCACATTCTAGAATATAATCTTGGACAACGAAGTGAATCGGCCTGTCCCCTAAACTTGTGCTTTCACTTTCACGCCAGGTTTGGAGGCAGCGTTGAACAATTCGTACATATTGTCTGAAATTCCTCGGCTCCACAGCTGCAATCCGCTTGTCTTTTGAACTTGTGATTTTAAACTCTCGCGTCGGCATAGCATCACCTTGACTTTCTACCAATACTTTTCATTGCCTCTGAATTCCTTCTGTTGATATTGTGTAGTTTCAGCGTTTTGGCAGTAATACGGCTGATGTCGTCTTCTGCAAATGATTTCAGCGGGCACATGTCGTTGCTTCTTCCTTTATACTCGCGTGATATTCTCATGAAGATACCACCCTGGAAGCGGACATAGATTGTATCTCTTATTCCTTGCGGTATATACACGAAGGGCTCCCGCGAAATGTCTTCCACCTTGCCAAGGAAGGCACCAGAACGACCTAAACTGAAGTGTATAGTCGTCGGTGTCCTGTCGTCGTCGCTGTCATGCTTTGAATGAGGCATACTTTTCTGGATCTTCTGTTTTTGATCAAAGAGGCGGAGCTCAGAAGTCAGTCAGCGTGACGTAGGCTGATGTGAAGGTGTGGCGCCAACAGAACGTAGAGTCGTAGCCCTTCCACACGGTGGCTGAACACGTCCGCGTCTTGTCGCTGTCAGGTCTGCTGAATGTGTTGAAGCGTCCTACTTTAATGCTAGAGATTTTCGGGTTAACTTTCGCCCGCCGAAACTTTTGGCCGCCGAAATTGTAGGATCCTTCGACCGTAAGCGTCTGTCAGACAACGGATCAAGTGCGGTTCGTCTGTCGTTTGCATGGTGACGGAAGTGCGCTGGCGACATTTAACATTTAGAAAGGGGCAAATTCTGAATTTGCTCTCTTCCGCGAGGACTAAGTGAAGATCAGCGCGACAGCGCGTTTGGGACTTTTCTCGGGCATGTGGATGTGCGGCATTGCATTTCTTCATTCAGCAGACTTATGTATGTTTTTACAGTTATCAGCAGCAGTGGATTTTAGCGGGGGATCGAACCGGCAATCTTTCGATTACGAGTCCCTGCTCCTTAACCACTATGCTACACTGCCGCAGCATTGTTAGTGGAAGACTTTGTGGCTATATGGCTCAAGCAAGACGAAAGTGTCTGAAAGGGCACAAAATGACCAAACACTAAACAGCGAAGTCGACTGCTGGAGTGGAGCGCAACCAACAGACACCTGCGACCGTTTAGAATGGTTTAAAGTCTAGTAATCGGCGAACGGCCACATACACGGATACCGGGAGCTGTGTACGGCAGCACTAACGCAGGCGAGCCCATCCGCCAGCAGTTACAGTTTCGCGTTTCGATTTGGAGAAAACGTGACCGAGGAGCACAACGCAGGAGAGCTCGCCAGTTTCACAACGTGTGATTTATAATTGCAACCATTTCATCTATAGCGCCTTTGAAATTCTTCCTGGACTGTTCGCTTGTCGATTGTAAACAGTTTTAATTAATTTGCTGTAACTTGTTTTTTCGCTTTGCACTTGAGAATCTAACAGGATGCCTCCAAAGCGCTTCCGCGTTTAGTCGTTTATGCTCGTTTCATCGGAAGCTTCGTCT